GAAAAAGCAAAAGCAAAACGCGAGAAAAAAACGAATGGGACTGGAAAGCGCACTATTGACATATATACGCGCATTCAGAAAGCACTCAGAAACGCGCTCGTTGCTCGCTAAAGAAAAACGCCGCATTATCAAAGCTAAGACAAAGCAGGAAATTCACTTATACTCTCCGACTCACACTCACACTCACACACACACATATACACCCAATTGACGCATGTGAGGAAATGCGCGCTGTTGAGCTTTGCATTTTGACATTTCATTTTCAAAACACAGATTCCAATGCGAGCGCCACAGTCAAGTGTTGCGCTCTCTTGCACGCTCTCACGCGTACTCTCTTCGCATGCTATACTTTCCAGCTGCGACGCTCTGACACGCTCTCTCTCTCTCTCTCTTTCATTCACTCATGTGCCAAAGTTTTGTTTCCAATGTGCGTTGCGAACAACAACAAATTCTTGATAGGAACATGCATGCAAATGTAAACAAATGCAGCAGGCATCTAAACAATGCAATTATTGTTAGTGTCTTTACATGGTTGTTAACCTTGTACTGTCGTAGACTAGAATAGGCACTGTGACAAGCCTATCCATAGAAATTAGCGAAAATTAAAACAGGTTTCTAGCATTTAAAAAATGTTATAGTTGCGACTTTAATTGTCTAAAAAATATAATATAAGTGATAAGATAACGTACATATAAATGTTAAGCGAATATTACAATAACAGATATATGAAAATTAGCTATTGAACTGTTAAGAGTTACATTGAATGTAATTTATGAACAGTTTACCATATATAAAGCAATTCAAGCTAATAAAAACTTGTCATTTTCAGTTCATCGAAACATAATTAAAATTTAAAACCCACGAGACCTGCAGAATCTAATCGAGTAAAAGCAATTTGATATTACGAATTCGTACCATAAATTTTATTAATTCTATACAATCTTATCAGCTGATAATTGCATGCATTGCACAATGACTAATAACTTTGCAATATCTCCATGCGATTCTCAACAGAAAATACCGCTATATTAGAAATTCAAAAGGAATTGACTCAAATATAAACCGTATCATAGTTAGTTTATTATTGCCCAGGACTAAACCGCATAAAATTCGCTAAGGATGCTCAACTTGAACTTCAAGTGCTGCTCAAAAGCAGACTATAGAGTCAAATACACTCACACATCCACACCCACTCACTCACATACACGCCCACACAGCATCCAATATTTTTTGGGGGTTGCTTTTTTGGGCGTTGAAAGCGCTTTTCACTAATTCAATGCGACATTGAAATTGTGAGCAACATCCAAAAAACTGCAGACGCAGACACCGTTACGAGCGTGGCTGCCGGCTCAGACGAAGCGAATGACTAGACGGGATACTGCCAGGGGTAGTGGCAGGGGAAGGGGTGAGCCGGCGAGACCGGAAGGGCGGCAGCTTTTGGCGCCTGGCCCAAAAAAAGAAGAAAAACAGGAAAACGTGCCGACGATAAAATATTCTTTCAAGGCTTCAATTTACTGTAGCTATAATTACTATAAAATATAAAAATTTATTTTAGCCAAAATAAATTTAAACAAGTAAGAAAGCTCTAGTCGGGGTGCCCGACTAGGAGATACCCTGATCCCAGTCCTTTGAGTTTTGTAATATTTTCCGTAGTTTGTATCGAGTATTAAAAAAAAAAGAAAACAAATAAAAATCGACATTGCGAGACCAGGATTCGAACCCGGATTATTTGCGCAACGTGCACAAACTCTACCAACACCGCCACTTCATAACTAAAAAAAAAAAATAAATAAATAATATAAAACAATAAAAAACATTTCATCTCCTCTGGTCTCGAACCCGGACCAAGCTGCATCCGAGAGGTGCCTCTACCAACGCAGCCACTGCCCTTCTTACGCGAGCTGTTGCAAATTTGAACATAAGTAGCAGCTAATAATTCAGCACAATTCAATCGCAATTTCAATTCTTGGAATAGAAAAGTATACACGCATTTGAATGTATGTGTGCACACGCATAGGAAAAATGCGTGCGCGTGGCGCTGCTGACATGTGCTTTTGCAAATTGGCCAAACGTTTTGTTTAATAACTTCTGTTTTACTTAATGGATTTTAATGAAATTTTCAGCATATGATCTACATATCCTATTGGCTTGGTTGAGATGCAAACGCCTTCACATAATGGCCCTAGTTCCAACTAAACTTAAATTCTAAGAATTTGGGGGAATTTGGAGCCGGTATCCAAAATCCAACAAAAATCAAAATTGCATAAAATATACATAACACTAAATACAAAATTTGGAGGCTCTAGCTCTTAAGACGTTCGAGATATAATTTATTTACTGCATTTCAATAATGTTTTTATTCGATAACAATTAAATGCGAATAGTTATCGAATATTTGAAACAAACTTGACCTGCGCGTGCTATACACGGACCTACAAAAAAAATTTCAAGTCTCTAGCTCTTATAGATGCTGAGATCCACGCGTTCACACATACGGACAGACGGACAGACGGACAGACAGACAGACGGACAGGGCTCAATCGACTCGGCTTGTCGTCCTGATCAAGAATATATATACTTTATGGGGTCTGCCACGCCTCCTTCTGCCTGTTACATACATTTGCACAAAACCATTATACCCTGATTTCCCATTTTTAATGGGATCAGGGTATAATAAATAAATAATATAAAACAATAAAAAACATTTCATCTCCTCTGGTCTCGAACCCGGACCAAGCTGCATCCGAGAGGTGCCTCTACCAACGCAGCCACTGCCCTTCTTACGCGAGCTGTTGCAAATTTGAACATAAGTAGCAGCTAATAATTCAGCACAATTCAATCGCAATTTCAATTCTTGGAATAGAAAAGTATACACGCATTTGAATGTATGTGTGCACACGCATAGGAAAAATGCGTGCGCGTGGCGCTGCTGACATGTGCTTTTGCAAATTGGCCAAACGTTTTGTTTAATAACTTCTGTTTTACTTAATGGATTTTAATGAAATTTTCAGCATATGATCTACATATCCTATTGGCTTGGTTGAGATGCAAACGCCTTCACATAATGGCCCTAGTTCCAACTAAACTTAAATTCTAAGAATTTGGGGGAATTTGGAGCCGGTATCCAAAATCCAACAAAAATCAAAATTGCATAAAATATACATAACACTAAATACAAAATTTGGAGGCTCTAGCTCTTAAGACGTTCGAGATATAATTTATTTACTGCATTTCAATAATGTTTTTATTCGATAACAATTAAATGCGAATAGTTATCGAATATTTGAAACAAACTTGACCTGCGCGTGCTATACACGGACCTACAAAAAAAATTTCAAGTCTCTAGCTCTTATAGATGCTGAGATCCACGCGTTCACACATACGGACAGACGGACAGACGGACAGACGGACAGACGGACAGACGGACAGACGGACAGACAGACAGACGGACAGGGCTCAATCGACTCGGCTTGTCGTCCTGATCAAGAATATATATACTTTATGGGGTCTGCCACGCCTCCTTCTGCCTGTTACATACATTTGCACAAAACCATTATACCCTGATTTCCCATTTTTAATGGGATCAGGGTATAAAAAGGATAATATTCAAAACTACATTTTTTAAATGAACCTCAAACGCTGTTATATAAATATGAGATAAAAAACTTTTAACAAAAATTTAAATATTTTGTAAAACATTTAAAGTTTTGACTTTTATGACTTTAGCTTTAGCTTTGACTTTTATGACTTTAGCTTTAGAATATGAAATCCAAATAAAATCATAGTATATAACATGCTTAAAAAAAATAAGTGCTTATAGACATTATAAAATCAAAGATCCACTTTTCCCAGTTACATATTTCATAACGAAGTTAGCAGATCCTTTGCAAGAGGGAAAAAAGTTATGCGGGTGGAAAATCCGACTCAGATATTTTGCTTTTCACCTTTCCCATATTTTTGCGCTATTTGCTTTTTGAAGAGGTCCGCATAAATTACGATTATTTGTCCGTCAGATTATCAACTCGTCGCGTCGCGTCGCTGAGAGTCTTTTTTTTCGCTCTCTTCGGGTCTGTCAAATTCGAATTTCGAATATTCAAAGTTAACTTCATAAACATGGCTAAAACATAAAATATGTATGTAGCGAGCACGTGGCTGGGCTAGTGGCAGGCGAAAAGATATAAAGGAAAAACTGTGCAAAGTGCAAGGCGTATAAAATTCTGATTCAATTTTATTTAAACAACCTAAATAGCAGCACTTACTTGATCCTGTGTTAATATAGCATATAGTATACAGTTCAGATATATATATAACTGAAGAACGCGGCGTTTTAGCAACGCATTTAAGTTAACGTATTGGCCGGAAGACAAAGAGAAGGCGGCCCCGTTAAGATTTCGGTCGTTGGCGGTGGTCGTAAAGGTTCGAAAATTTGGCGGCGCGAGCGCATCGAAATGACAAATGATCCGGATTTAGATGATTGTGCATTTCTATCAGGTAAATAAAACGGGATGATCATCCCACATACCAATTTGAATAGCGATGCTATTTCGTCTCTCTACAATAGTCAATAATCTGACTACGATCAATGGTTTAATTATCGATATTTACTAGTTCATTAAATCGTAAACGATGCATACCACGGACTCAGCTATCGATAGATAGCTGAATAGAACAAGTCGTTCGCGAGCTGATGAACAAAACGAATCGTTTGATTGATCAAATGATTAAGTTAGCAAAGAGTATCCGTTCAATGAACATTGAATAAATTCTCAACTGCAATTTTAATGGTTAGTCCAATCGAACTTATTCTCTCCACTCTACTCTACTCTTCAGCCAATCAACCAACTTGTCTCGTTAAGCAGTGGGCGCAATGCAAACATTTCGCGTACAAATATTGACAACATTTAATATGACTACTGCACACACTGGCCCCTTATATTCCCTCTCTCTCATTAACCATCTCTCGCACTGTGTTTTACCTGTTTGTTAATTACATTTACCAGGTGGCGAATCGAGCGGCGGCCGCCAGACGCGCACCGGAGTCGCCGTCTGCTCGCAGCGTCGCGCCCTACTCGTTGCTGGCATCGTCCTTGGATCCCTGCTGCTGACGGCCATTATCATTGCCTACGCCGGACCCCAAAATGGTAGGCTCCATTGTACATCTATATTTGCCTTTCGGTTGCGTTTCTTTGCCTTCTTTTGTTTCGTTTCGTTTTTTATTTTATTTCATTACCACAACAAACAACAAGAACAAAAGCCGTCGTTGCTCCCCCATTTTGCGCAGGATATGTTTGCAAACAGGGAAAACAGCTTTTCGTATGTTTTATAATACGCATTGTATTATTTTTTACTAGTGGAAAAGGCAGTCGTATGAGGAAGCGAGATAATTTAAATGAGTTTTTATTACAATTACTAAAAGCTGGCTATAAATGATAATAATGATTATATAATTGTTAATTCGTTATACACCTTTTAATACTTTTAATAATATTTTGAGGCCAAGCTTAGAGTGTAAAGTTGTAATCCTAAGATATCAAATTGAATATAGAAATGAAATTACATATAAATCTATATGACTTTAAACTTAAAGTTCAAGACTAAGCTTGAAGCTTGAAAAAGATTTCTTATCAGCAGATGTAGATCTATTATAGCTCACTAGAATTGAAGCCCAGAATAAAAAATTTTACTTTGAAAAACAAATTTCAATATATAAAAGATACATAATATATGATTAACTCAGTTTTAAAACAATTTTTCGTAAGCAACAAAAATAAGTTTTATAACATTTTGAGTTTGTCGACATTTTAAATGAATAAGATTTACCGTAGAACTCCATTCCAGTATATACATAAAATCCACAGATATTTTATTATATTTACCTTAATTTAAGACCTGAACAAGCTTAACACTTTACTCACTCTGCCTATCGAAAACTGCTTTAACTCCAAACATGACTTTTACTCAATTACCTTAAAGATTGCTTATTTATAATGAAAAATGTATTTCCATTAGGCAAAGTATTTTCATAACACGCTTTATTATTAGGCGAGCTAGTCAACTGCGACAAACAACATATTATTCTCCTTAGTAACCATAGAATCGCATTAGGCCAATGAAGGATGCAGCCAGAGCAGAGCGGAGCAGCTGCTTCTTGACATAGTCGCAGCATGTCGTATGTAATATGCTTACTAATAGTATTAACCCTAACCAAATACCATTATACTGACCCGGGCAGATGGCCCCTCAGTGTGGGTATGTGTGTGTGGCAAGAGGGGAGTTCCATATTGATGCATCGACTCCCGTGTCGCATATTACGTTGCAAAATGTATGCAAAGTACAAATATAAACCTTGTGTTGCATACTTAATGGGGCTAAATGCATTGAAGGCTAATTGCATTACGGACCCCAGCCAGACAAGCATGTGTGTGTGTGTGTGATGGGCTGTGTGCGCGAGAGTGTGCTTGTGTGTGGGACTCTACAAAGGGAAAGAGCTAGACAATGTAACCAGGTTCTACAAAAGCTTTACACAACACTTAATTAATTAATGCAGTGCGGCAAAAAAGTACTGAAAAATGCCCACACTTTTCATTAACTCTATAAAAATACCAAATATTTAATCAAACTAAAAATACTCGTACGTCTTCTATATATTCAATATATATATTTATCAAATATATATTTATAAATATGTATACATAATTTGTTTACTGTTTTCTTTTCATACTGTTGTTTCTTTGTATTCTTTGGTAAAAAAAAAAATAAAAAAAAATACACAAAATATTATTATATATTTATGAAAACTTCTCTTAAATGCTTGTTTGATTGGTAAAAATGTGAGTAACAAATTTTTCCAAAAACCCACTTCTTCTAACTAACCGGTAATTAACACTCAACAAATAGTCCAAATATATCTTTATATATAGTATTCCTATAATATATATATATAATCTGTCGGCATGTTGCTGTCATCCAATTGTTGTACCTCTAATTCCTTATCTATATGTTCCCCTACTAAGTGCATTTCATTTATTTGAAATTCTTTTCAACTTTTCAATGCAATTTAAAATCTTTCTATATTCATCTGAAAAACAAATCATCGAACACTGTTTTTGCCCGTACTTTCTGTAGAATCTTTATAAAATGTTTAACTTTTACTGATGAGTAAAGTTTCTTAAATTCTGGATATCTTTTCTCATTTCCTTAATTATATTTATAAGTTTTTTAGAACATATCTATTAGATGTCAGTTGGTTTCTAGTCTTAGATTTTATGTAGTGTTTAAAGTTTTCGTATATCATATACATAAGATTTATAAGATTCATAAAATTATATACATTAAATATAGAAGTAATTATCAGACAGAATCGGGGCTGCGAGCCATACAAAATGTGGACAGAACATATTCAGCATTTTTATCCTTTTGCAGAGCATAAAAAATAAATAGGTTATGAACCTTAAAAATTTAACGTTATTCTGATTTCTATAAACATATCCTACAAATCAGTTGTTTTTTTTTAACTAAAATAAATATAAATAATTGATAAAAAAAATATTAAAAAAAATATAAAATGATCAATATATCTTTCAAAAAATATTTACTAACTCATAAAAATAATAGTAAGATTTAAATATAAATTAAATTTAATAAAAATAGATAAAATTATTAATTTATAAATAATTACCAAAACTATAAAAAGAATATATTTCATTGACTACTTTGAAACATTAAAAAATTAAAAATAAATAAATAAAAAATGTATTACTCATTTAAATATTCACCACTAAAAAATGAAATAAATCTTAAGTTTTCGCCCTCCTCAATCAATCTTGCTCATGCGTTGCTCTCTAATAACTTTTCCAATATTCCTTTTTTAAGAGAGTTTCTTCTTGCTACTATTTCTGTTAACCTTTGCTATTAGATGTGCTAGCAAACCCATGTGAAAACATTATTAACTCCTCTGCTAGTCAACCGATTTGAATGCTAGCTTTTATTTTTGATATTTTTGTATATTTTTTCTTTTATTTTTTGCTTTATTATTTTCACCTCTCTGCTTAATCCTAGATTTTGTGAAGCCGCCACGTTTTCTGTTTCAGTTTCAGTTTGGTTCTCTTTGTTAATCGTGTAAAACGCAGTTGATTAACAACAAGCATCAATGTGCTTAGCCACAAATCCCAAAAGCCATATAATATATAAAACTCTCCCCCACCCCATGCGCCCCACCTGCCCACTTGAGCCATTGTATTTGAACGTTGCGTTTCTGTGTGTATGCCCTTTGCAGACTGTTCCTGTGCGGCGAAAACGACGTCTGGCTATGAAACGGATGAAGAAAACAACACACAGCCATTCAATCCAATTGCAACGAACGGGGAGCCCTTTCCCTGGCTGGAGAAGATGCTGCCCAATAGCGTCCGACCCATGCGCTATGTGGTCACAATACATCCCAATCTCACAACGCTGGACGTGAAAGGTGAGCGAGAGAGAGTGACTTTTCGATTCATTAGCTTTTCTCCTAATGTAATTATTTACTTTGCCAATACCTGCGCCCAGGTCAAGTGACTATCGATCTGTTCATAGAGAAGGAGACCAACTTCATTGTGCTGCACATACAGGACCTGAATGTTACCGAGAAGGTGAGTTGCAGCTGCTCCCAATTAGCGGAGTCCTAACTAATTACATTTCGCATACAGGCGCTGGTTACGCCCGGACCCAAGGGCTATGCCTTGAAGATAATCAAGGTGCTGGAATTCCCGCCGCGGCAGCAATTTTACATTGAAGTTAAGGAGAAGCTGAAGAAGAAATCAAATTATACGCTAAATCTACGCTGGTATTCCAAGCTGAATCCCGAACCGGAGGGCTTCTATGTGGATCAGTATGAGAGCTTCAATGGACGGGAACGGTAGGACTTAGACATTTATTAATTAAAAGCTAAGACGTAGAGGAAATTACAGGGGTAGAGAGTCTGTAGGAGATATCTTCATATCAAAGATCTTGGCAATCAAGAGAAGATATCCGAAGAGTATAAACGGACAAAAAGTCGGACGGACAGACTGGTTAAGGGGCTTACCTTGATTGACTCCGGAATACATATTCTTTGTGGGGTCAGTTATGCCTTCTTTTCTTATTCCGAACTTCCTTCTTCAATGGGTTTGGGGTGTAAAAAGGCGATTGCCGATGCAAGCATTAAGACTCTCACTAGAGTTAACTTCCGAGGGATTTCTCTTCACTTTACTGAATTGTTGACAAGCCTATAGCTAACTAACTTAACTCTTTACAGCCTCCTGGCAGCCACAGTCTTTAGGCCGAATGGTGCACGTCGCGCGTTTCCGTGCTTCGACGAGCCGCACGTGCGTGCGCCCTTCCGTGTCTCCGTTTTCCGTGATCGCTTCCACATAGGTCTATCCAATTCCATAGTGCATACGACAGAGGATGTGGGCTTCTACATGGGTACAGGACTGGTAAGTGAACACCTAAAACCAAGTCTCAGTAGCGTCACTGATATCTGAATACCTTTTATAGTTGAGAGATGACTTTATTGAAACGCCTCCACTGCCTGCGGATGCTGTTGCCTGGGTGGTCAGCGACTTTCAGCGTGAGTCGCTGCAGCCCTCGGCTGCCTATATGCCCACTACAGTGGCGCCACCTAGCGCTGGCGGCGGCAAGAAACCATCTCAGCTGAACAACTACACGCAGCTGAAGAGCAAAAATCCGCCCGTACGCAACATTACTGCCTTGACGCATTCGCTGAATGTGAACTTGACGCCCTTCCACAATGTCAGCAGCACGACGACCACAGCACTGCCCGTAATTATCAATGGCAATGGGAAACCCTCGAATCCGACCTCCTTGTCGCAGTCGACGGGCTCCTCCATCAAACGTGCTCCCTCGTATACCTTCTATGCGCCGAGAGACCTGCTGCCACGGTCCTCCTTCATTCTGCACACATCCCGAGATGTGCTGGAGTATCTGCAGACCTGGCTGGACATCAGCTATCCCCTGACCAAGGTGGACTTTGTAGCGTTGCCTTCGTTGGATCGCAATTTGATCTCCTCGTTGGGTTTGGTCACATTGAAGACTTCCTTTCTCACCGATCCCCAGTCCATAACCTCGGAGCAGTATCAGTTCAGTGCACTGCGCATTGCGGAGGCCATGGTGCGTCAGTTCTTCGGTGGCATCACCTCCCGCAAGGTGCTCAAGGATGTCTGGCTGTGGGAGGGACTCATTCAATATCTAGGCATACATGCGCTGGCTCCCCTGCAGGACAGCTGGCCGCTGCGCGAGATGTACCTGTTGAAGATGGCCACCGCAGCGCTGGACATTGATGCCATTCAGGGCTGGGACAGCATCATGAACGGCACTCGCCACGACGGCAACAACGAAGAGTTCTTCGTCCAGAAGACGGCGGCCATCTTCTCCATGCTGCACACGGCCATTGGCGAGGATCGCTTTCGCGGCTGCCTCGGCACCTTCCTGAAGCTGAATCGCTTCAAGACCGCCGAGCCCACTGATCTCTGGACCATATGCACCAAGAAGGCAAACGGCTCGAAGAACATCAAAGACATGATGACGCTGTGGACGCATCAACCAGGATTTCCGCTGCTCACCGTCACCAAAATGGGCAACAGCATATCCATATCGCAACGACCATTCAAGCCAGCCGACTTCTTGGCTATACACGACGAGTCCTACGATGGCAACAATTACAATCAGACGGCTCTGAATGCCACCGATACGCCCAGCACTGTGCCACCCACCCATGCCAGCAAGCACAAGACTGCGCCGCATCTCAAGTGGATATTCCCAGTTACATATATCACCGACATGAACAATGTCAGCGAAACGCTCTGGATGCAGAATGTTGATGGTGAGTAGAATGAATTGAACAGGTGTCGGTTGGGATTAGGTGGGATAGGATGTGGTTAGCTGGGAGATTTGTCGAGGGCAGAGGACGTTCCCTGAGGTGAAGAACTAAGCGAGGTTCCCAGTTCATAGAGGAAGTCTGCTTCTTCATTGGGACATAAAGCTGATCTAATAGAAGTGAAGAGTTATTTGGGATTTTTCAGAGTTTCTCTGCTGCTTAGTCTTAAGTCTACTATAATAAAAGTCATCCAATTGTTCCTCCTCGAACTTCAGTTACCTTCAATGTGCCGGAGAATGTAAAATGGATCAAGGTAAATGCCATACAGAACGGGTATTATCGCGTTATCTACAATGATGATAACTGGGCCAGTCTTATCGAGGAGCTGTCGAATAATCCGAAGCGTTTCAGCAGCGAGGTTTGTACACAGCTTCGAAAATTATTGAAATCGAATCTAAGGCGACTTCCGTTTAGGATCGATTGGGTCTGCTCTCGGATGCCTTTACGCTGTGCCATGCGAACCTACTGCCCTGTGAGATTACGATGAATATGATCCAGTATTTGCCCAGTGAAACGCACTACGGTCCGATGGCATTGGCCGTGCGACACTTGGAAAAATGGCGTCGCATACTCAAGTACTCCGAATGCTTCCTAATGCTCAGCGAGTTCATCAAAATGAAACTGTCGACGGTAATGGAGAAGGTGGGCTGGGTAGACGAAGGCGATGTGGCGATCAGGTGAGTTAGCTGACTATATATAGAGCTCGCAGTTGTAATACCTTTCCTCTGTCAGGCTAATGCGTCCAGAGGTGCTGCTGGCATCGGTGCTGTGGGAGGACATTGACAGCATAACCAAGGCCAAGAATATGTTGAATCAATATTTGTACTACAATGGCTCGGCCATAGCGCCCAATTTGCGTGAGGTGAGTTGCTGTGAGATACCATTGGGGCTTGCTCGGATTAAGCTGTTCTGTTTCAGGTGGTCTATACGGGCTCCATTTTGTCCGGCGAGTATATCTATTGGCAGCATTGTTGGGAGCGTTTCGTAACGCTGCAGCGCACCTCGGAGACGTTTGTGGAGCGAATGCAGCTGCTGCGCGCCTTGGGACGCACCAAGGATGCCTGGCTGCAGAATCGCTTGCTCTCCCATGTCACCATGCTGCCCACCGAGGAGGTGGTGCAGGTGCTCAAAGCCATTGCGGGCACGCCCACCGGCGGTGCAATGGCCTGTCGCTTCCTGCAGGCCAAGTGGTATGAGCTGGAGCAGCGCCTGGGACCGGGCACCATTAGCTTTGCCAAAGTGATATCGGCCATAACGCAATATGGCGCAACGAAGTTCGACTACGATGAGGTAAGCTGAGACCCAGACTCATTTGCCAGATTGATCTATATATGTATACATATTTGTGTGTTTCAGCTAAAGTCCCTGGTGCATCGGTTTGGGCGTGGACAGGGCATGTCCGTGCTCAACATGACGCTCAGCAGCGTCGCCTCCAATGTGGAATGGGTGGCCAGATCTCAGACATCGCTCTACAAATGGGTGGAAAGTAATTTGCATTCGCATCGATAGAGCGCTGCGCTGCTATAAACAAAAAGCATATATATATAGATATATACGAATTTTAGTTGAATTCTGTTCTCTGGAGAGAAACGAAACTCTCTCCCTCTCTCTATCACTAACTCTCTCTCTCTCTCTCTCTCTCTCTCTCTCTATCTATCTTTCTCTATCTCTCTCAACTCATTTGTAATTATGTTCCTCGCACACACAGATAAAGTAATCAATGAATTATTTAAAGTAATTACTAAAGTAATATAATAATTACCATATCATTGCCATACACTTGCCATATACACATATATTGACAGGGTCTTGAGATCTCTCCATTAGTTGTGTTTGCTTTAACTTCCTACTTAACAAATTTAGTTAACATAAAGAAAAGAAAAACAAAAAGCAACTGTAAATTAGGAAAACAAACACACCAATCTCTTATATATATATATATATATATATATATATATATATATATATAGATATATATAAATCGGAAATAGGCATACTTGATGCCATGTTCTATTATCTACAACTGAACATAACAGATATATGTATATATATATATCTCCATATTGTATATGTATGTATATTTTACAAAAACAAAAACAAAGCAACATAGCATATAAGACAAAGACAAAGATGAAGTTGAAGTTGAAGTTGAAGATAAAGATGAAGACAAAACACAGATCAACATATTTTTTCAGCAAAATCGAAAAAGAAACACTTTAAAGAGTAAAAACAATCCATATATAAACGAAATTATGATAAAATGTGTATAGCATATTAAATTATATATTATTATATTATATATATATATATATATATGTACGTAAGGCTCCTTTAACGGTATGCCGTATGTGTGTGTGTGTAATTGTATATGTGCGCATTGATATACACATTGATATCACAGAACTCTTCCTCTTCGTAAGCTCCATATAGACATAATCCATGGATCTATGTACATACATATATACATACACTAACTAACTATCTGAACTCGACACTTTTTATTTATGCACAATCGAATTCAAGTTTTTAATTCTCTTGCTTACAGTAAAAGCTCGCTAAAAGGAACAACTTTGAGTTAGCCTTAATTAGGTTTTTTCTTTCCATTTATTATATTAAGTTTCTATTAGAAAACTTGTAGCAAAAATTAGACCCATTTTCTGGTTCGCAATTATCAATTGAGTGCAGCTTGCCAGTCGCAGAGCATTCACTGTACTTCTAAATAGTTTCGCCACGTCTCTATCAGTCACAGATCTGACGAAACTTGTACAACCCAAACAGCTGGAGCACTTATCTCATTCGACAACATGGAACATCTTGACTCTATGTTATTTGTATTACATTTTGCTTGATTTATTTCTCTGTCAAGAGCTTTTATTTAAAATAAAGTTGCGCTGATAACCGCTGAGCACTTGTCGCTTGATTACACATATATAAATATATATGCCATATATACATATATATATAGTATATATGTCTGTATAAAGTTTATCAGCATAATCCCAGCCACGTTTGACTTATGTCTGAATCTTTCGCAGCCAACATTTGTTTTGTATTTTAATGCTGGTTTGTTCAGTGAAAGAAGTATATTAGCTTTCTCTAATGAGACTTGTTTGTTATAGGGTACACGATTGCCAGATAAATTTCAGCAATGAACATTGAGAGCTTGACCAATTGAGATAAATCTTTGGAATCTAGCCTCTTTTAGGTAATCATCCTCTATAGATCAAACAAAGAAGCATTCAATTCTGAGAGATGGATTACAAAATTCCATACTGCGCCCATTGAGGTTCCACAAATAGTAAATTACTACAACTTGCTCAATTTTAAAGCAAAATACTCAAGTATAGATAACGAAAGACGATAATTTGTGAACGAGTATTGGGCAGTCGGCTGTACCCGACTGCAATATTCTTACTAATTTTGTTGTTTTCATTTCGATCAACAGAAACCTTCGCTTCTCCTTTGACATGCTAATTCAGGTTTGAGACTCGTTTGCTCGCGGCAATTTAAGATCTTAATATTCTGTTTTTGCTTACTTATTCGATTAGCTGAACGATACTCGATGTCAATCCGGTCAGTTAGGCGTATTTAGACACATATGAATGCATCTAGATGATAGATCAGTAATAAAGAACAAAACATGAATAAAAACAAAATTATGGAAACACGAAACACAAAATGCAACAAACTCTAGAGTAGCTAACCAGAGAAACAAGATTTTGGAGCGATTTTACTGTTTTCGAGAAATGTATAAACCTACAAATAAACTAAACAGTATACCGATTACAAAACATACACTAAAAAACTAAAAGAAAACGTCAAGATTTAGAAAGTTTTACAAAAATCATCTACAAAACATTTTATGTGAGAACTTCCTTGCGGTTGGAAGTGATTTTTTCAATGGGTTCTATGTAAATACTATATATTTTGTTTATTATCCATCAGCTTTGATTTGTGGCTTCATCCATACCCTACATCCACTTGTATACTTGCGCATATCCGTCCACATATGTATTCTGTTCACCTCTCGGATCAATCAAGCTTAATTTATCAAAAAAAAAAAAAAAAAGGAACAAAAAAAATTTTTAAAAAAATGTAACTCTTATCTTGAATTCTAGTTAATTTTATTAGACAAAATTTCTTTGCGTGCATTCTTTAGCTTTAACCTAATATGAATTATTTTTGGTATCACCTGGTAACACCTTTTATAAGAAATTTGTGTAGTGGAATAGATGGGAAGCAGGCAAAGCAACTTTAAAGACGTAAATCTAATTGTATGAAAATATATATGTATACAAATATATATATTTATGTATATTAAGTCAAATGGGAATAAATATAAATAAAATGATAACTAAAATATGTAACAAGCAAATATATGAGTTTTCATGAAATTCAATATAAATTTCAGCCGAGGTAAGTTGAGCATTTTATCTACATAATCTTCGCGTGGTCTTCCATATAAAAGCAATCGAAATTATCAATTTATAACAACTCATAATGTTGGAAATATTACTCATACGGCTAAGCTTATCAATCTTAAAGAATGATACCTTAAATGAGAATTGTATGATGAAATGTATAATACAAGCAGCTTATTGAAATTCAAATTGATTTGAGTCTAATTTATACTCTGTTCATAAACAATTAGAGTAAATGCTAAGAAGAATTTAAAGGAGAAACGATACAATTAAAATACTATTAGGGTAGGGTATATGTTAGTCTGATGTTTTAATTCTTATCTCTATTTTCTATATACAAATATCTGAAAATGATGGCAAACAGCTCAATTAACGCTATCTATCGCCCACACACGCACACACGTGCGCGCTCTTTCTCTCTCTTACGTTCTCTCTCGAAGAAGCTCTATCGCTCTTGCATTACGAATATCAGCAAGAAGAGAGAGTCTGAATGAGCGCTCTCTGCACTTGTTGTTATTGTTTGTTCCGCTTCTGTTTTTATCGTGCATCAACGTCGTGTGTCGTTTCGTCGTGTATTGAGACGCGTGCCGAGGGGGCTATTCGGTGCCGCCGACCAGCTGACCGTACCGATTAGCGGCATTCGCTGCGGCGCTCGGCACAATGGCCGCTCAGTATATTGCGAATCGTACTGTTAACGCCATCACGCCGCTGCTCTCTTAAAACTTTTATAGCACCTGTGGAATGTTTATTTTGAAACTGACGTAAAAGCCAACTATAACAACTATATCAAAAGCTCTTCTTTTGAGGCAAAAAAATAACAAATTTTTACTAAAGAAATACAATTTATGTATGTATTGTTTGCCTTAAAGTAATAAAATAAATTAATTTTAAGCTGCTAAAGAAATTGCGCCGTTTAAGTTAAGTTCGCTAGTTAACTCTTCCGCGCCCTCTTGCGATTAATCAACAAACTAAGCGCGTGTAGACAAACGCGTCAGTGCGTCTCTCTTTCTCTCTATATGTGAGCGAGATTGTGTGTATTGTGGAAAAATCACTTAACGCCCGCCCAGTGCATCGCTGATCGCCATATTAATGTTAATATTTATATGCAAACACATATATACATATGTTTTTATATGCATCCATGTGCGTGCTTCTATGTGTGTGCGTGTGTGTGCGTATAGCTTTGCAAATAGTAAACAGAGCTTCTTCTGTGTACAGAACGAAATGGCAATTGTATAAATTACCGGCATGTGGTCATCGCGAATATTTTGCTCTGTGGAACGCCCTTAACTGCCCACCCCAAAAAGCATCAACAAATTGTTGAGTGTCTGTGTCAGCGAGCAAATGCCCCGCAATAGAGCGTTGCGTACTATATAGACTCTAAAGACTCGCCAAGTGCAAGTTATGTTTGTTGTCGGCACGGGATTATACCCTGTAAAAGACTGTGGACTAATGCTTCAAAGACTTCAAAGAGCCTAAAATGACACTTGTTGATAGGGTATTTTGTTATCAGCCTTCAGTTCATATAGATATATATGCAGCCGGTCTTCCGGGTTCAAATCTCTGGCATTCTATGATAATTTCTTTGCCTATCAATTTTGATAACTATATCTATATTATAGTTTATTTAATATAAGCTTAAGTCTTTGACAAGGTTAGAGGCGAGACTTCGACTAGGATTGTCTTTCTTATATGCATGCATGTATATGTGCATGTAAATATAAGTCTGATCTCACTATTGAGAATAGGTCACAGAGTATCCAATGCAAATATGCCCTAAGCAAACAGTTCAAGGGTATATAACAAGTTATAAATAAACAAAAATATTTTTATTTGTTGTTTCCGAGAAATTTGCGTGGCATATCGAAAAAGAAGAAGAAGAAGCAGCAGCTAAAATTTCACATTATAATAAGTGTTTAGCAGTTCTTTCAACCGTATCTCAGAGACCGCAATTGTAGAACTTAAATACTGTCGCGCATACCTATAATTTCCATGCGATTCAAATGATATAGGAATACCTGTCTCTAGATTGACATTTTAATTACGGGTTAGGCATTTGCTATGGAGCGAGTGCTAATGTTGGTGACA